GTTGTGGAGTCTCCTTCTCTGGAGATCTTCCAAACCCACTTGGATGCAGTCCTGTGCCATGTGCTCTAGGTGTCCCTGTGTGTGCAGGGGAGTTGGACTAGATGACCTCTTGAGGTCCCTTCCAACCTTAACAATTCTATGATTCTCAAAAGGTTTTCAGGCTCTCCTCAAAATGTTAACATCAGCTCTTTGTGGAATCTTCACAGAGAATCTCATGCCGTGCTCATATCTGACTTTGGTGTGTTGGTGTATATGTAAATATATGCCTTATGGTTTGGCCATCTGCTTTTCCTTAGTGGCATAGTATTTTGAAAGGTTAGACTGGTTTTGTGTGGCATTAGGTGGGAGATAGCAGTGGATGCACAGTGGCGTTTTGTTTATGTCATAAGCTGTGAGGTGACTGAAATTCCTTCCACAGGCTCTTTAATCCTGAGGAAACAAAAATACAGCAATATGTTAACACCTAGGACTTCATAAGAAAGTCCCTGACTGCGGAAGGGCATTGCTAAATTTCTGAGTTTCTTGTACATGCATTCTCTTATTGCCTCATATTTTAATTGAATGAAAAAAATATTTCAGAGGTGTTTCCTGGGCTGTAAAGGATTGCAGTATTTGGAATGGGATTAAGAGTAGATCTAGAATCATCAATACTAATGCTGTGATGCAGAGGACTTGTAAAAGATCAAGATAACGTAGCTGAAATTTTATTGCAAATAGTCTCTCTCTTCCACCCCCAGCCAAAATAAGTAGTTTATAGCAAGTGCTGTCTTGTTCATCAAACAGATATTTGGATTTCACTTACTCAAGAGATGCTTGCAATTCCTCCAGCAAGACCGCATATCGTAACTTTTAATTCCTTTTTCTTTCTCTAGATCCAGAGAGAGTTTGCAATGGCAATGCTATGGAAATTCATGAGAGTTGCTAAGTATTCTAAAACAGCTTTCTCACAGGAAGTAAAAGTAAGAGGAACTATCGCCCATTTAAGGCATTCTTCATCCACGTCTGTACCTTCTGATTTTGCTGCCAGCACAGCATCATTAAATACTGTGGAACTGCTTGGTAAAGCTTATCCTCGAGATGACTACAGTAATGTCGCAGAGAAGATTCTCTCCAAAGTTGGGAAAAACCTGCACAACAAAAAGCATCATCCTTTGTGGCTAATCAAGGAGCAGGTGAAGGACCACTTTTATAAGCAATATACAGGACGCTTTGGAACACCGTTGTTCTCCGTCTATGATAGTCTTTCTCCAGTGGTTACCGTACAGCAGAATTTTGATAGCCTGCTTATCCCACAAGACCATGCCAGCAGGAGGAAAGAGGATAACTATTACTTGAATCGTGATCACATGCTAAGAGCACACACATCAGCTCATCAGTGGGACCTGATACATTCTGGCTTAGATGCTTTTCTGGCTGTGGGAGACGTCTACCGTCGTGATACAATTGACAACACCCACTACCCAGTCTTTCATCAGATGGAAGGAGTTCGGCTCTTCTCCTGTCACGAGGTAGGAGCTCTCTGTAGTTGGGATGAAAGAGATCCTGGGTAAGTTGCTTGATCTTGTATTTGAGCAAAGTGCATGCACTTAAATCAGTTGTAGTCACACAGATGATATGCTGCACCCTGATAAAGATCAAGGGGGTGGTCACGTAGGAATACGTTTAATTTGAGAAGAATACGGATGAAAAATATTGATTTAAAAAAAGAAAACTTAAAAACATTCCCAGAAAAATGTGAAAAGTGGACAACAGTCTTGAAACCTATCAAAATAAAACAGTATCTGAAAGAAAACAGCTGGCACAGCTAATGATTTGCACAATTCAGTTCTAATCATGTCAGAAGTACCTTCCAATGAGGTAATCTTAGCATAAAACTTTGTCATGTTAGCCCTTGAAGGGTTCATGATTGTGAGTTCTTGCATCTACTCTGACTCAGTCATCTGTCTTCTGTTAATAGCTCCAAACGAGTTCTTGCATCTACAGTACAGAGTAAAACTCTGACTCAATCATCTGTCTTCTGTTAATAGCTCCAAACTTCATTTATGAACATCATCTTTGTCCCATGCTTCGTCTCATCCTCTACCTGCGTTGAAAGGAGGGTTTGTTGCAGCTGATAGTTATGGATGTGTGATATATACACAGTAAACTTGTCTGAGAACAGGCACCAGCTGAAGAGCTCTAGGTATATGTCCAAGACTCTTGAGTTTATATATATCGTTGGCACAACTTATGTGCACTGCAGATGCTTGAGTGTTGTTAAATATTCTGCTGTATCATTGATTGCCTGTAAAAATAAGCCACATTGTTTTCTAAACAGTAATTGATTGCTACAATTTGTGTATGCTCATAGCAATATTGCCAAATTGACATTTATATATCTAAGAATGAACCTATACTAATAATACTTAGATGTAGACCATTCTTAATGTGGTTGCAAGTAGGTGACAGGAGCTTGGCAGGGAAGCACGATGCCGGAGGGAGGCGTGGGGAAAGCTTAGTGCACCGTTTTTCTCCCTGGTGGGAAAGATTCCTGTCATGCACATGGGCGTTTTCTCACCACTCTACCACTTCCTTGGCCATTTTGAAAGTGCATCTACCTGTGGAGATGTGCAGCAAGCTGTATGGTATCAAATGGCATTTACAATGACTTCTTGGTAATGAAAAAAAGGAAAAACTTACAGATGTATTGTGTCTTATTTGTTAGCTGTTCTTTTACATATGCATCTTCATGGTTATAACTTAGGCATCTTCATAGTTACAATTTGTTGTATAATCTGGCTATAATATGATTATAACATGCAAGAATAAATTGGTACTATATTATGAAAATGCCATTTTGTAACATTTTAAGTTCATGCCAGATTTTTCATCTCAGCTGAAATTCAGGCTTCTAGATGAGAAGAGGGCACCATATCTGCCACAAAATTAGAATAGCTACCCTGTTATAGGATAGTGTTTATGAGAACTTGGAAGTGATTGATCTAATTATTGAAATAATTCTTAAGGAATATGTCCCTGGAAATATTTGTCAGCATAGTCAGGATATTTCTTTCTCCCACACAAAGGAGATAAAGGGAAGTGTAAGAAGAAGATTAATAAGTGGGAAGCCTCCTATAGAAAATTTTGTTGATACCTACCAGCTATATGCTGATACGTAGTGTACAGTGATCTCATTCATTGCATTATGGGTTGTTTGGTTTTTTTTGTTTGTTCGTTTCCCTTTTCAAGGGAATGGTTGTGATGCTATAGGAGAATGCCGGTATTTGATGAATGTGAAGCTAGGTATGTGGTAGATAAAATGGCAAATGTGTACTGTCTTGTGTCTGAAAAATCCTGAAGGCATCTTGAACTGATGCTAGTGGCCTGGCGCACAGTGTGTAAGGTTTTGTTTACTGGGGAACATGCCTAAGTTCTAGCTATGTGCGTGATCTAAAGCTGCCCATTTTTGCTGCAATTCAGTATTGAAACCTGCTAAAGTCTTGCCATGTGCAAAAATTTACAAGCGCCATCCAAGAGCCTAGTGAAAAAATTGAACATGTAATTCTGTAATTTTACTGGTGACTGTTTCTCTGTTTTGTATTCTGATTGCTTCTTTGAGGAAACCCGCAAACGTGCATAATTCCAGAAGGAACTGTCTGAGCTGAAAAAAGATTAAATGGAGGTAATACTATACAAGAGAAATATTTTTATATTCATTTATTTATACTCATGTTTAAATTATAACACACTGAACAGAAACGTGTGAATGTCAAGGCCTGTTGCCTTCATCTGAGACTTCTCATTCATAACCACATTGCAAGCTGTGACCATGAGGAAATTTGCACAATATGGAGGATAAGCTATGAAACTAAAGGAAAAACTGTTAACTCTTAGTCGGAAGCTTTTCAACACACTGGCAGGTAGATTTCATTTAGATTCATTTAGATTTCATTTGTATCGAGTAGCATACATTTTATTTATTATAGAGTGTTTGTTGCTTTACTTTGTCCTTTTGATTTGCCCGTTTAAAATTATTAAATGTTAATAAATTATTACATTTATCATTGCATTATCTTATCCATTGAAAATTGAACCACAAAGTTGAAAAACAAACAAAAAAACCACTTCATGATGGTTTCCACTTGAATTTATCGGAATTTTAAATTTTCCAAATCTGCTTCATTAGCCCGGACATAAAATAGTTTATTCTCCTTAAAAATTAACTCCCAAATAGCATGATTTGTGCAGTGCCAGCCTCCAGCGTGCCGTTCTTCCCGGGCGGCAGCGAGTGCTGCTTATGCGTCAGAAGGGTGTTTCGTAAGGTGTTTTACGGCCTGCGTTGCCTTACACATAAATTTTAAGGGAACGGGTATGAAAGCATGGGAATTGCTCCTCTAATTCAGTAACCTCCTCCTAATGGAGGCCGATAGCAGATTGTTCGGAGGGAGGAGATGATGCGCTCATCAGACACGCCGATGCTGGTGGCTCAAAGTGGGGAAGCAGTAACAGCGATACGTCCTGAATCGCCATGGAAATGTCTATAGAAAAAAAGGCTTATTTTTTTTTTTTTTCCCTCCTGCTTTGGTGTCGATGGAGAAACATAAATCATTCAGTTAAAAACAAGGCCTGCCCCTCCAACACAAGGATAATTGGCATCTGTGTATTGCTTTTAATTTTGCAGGTCTATTCACCGGGGGAAAAAAACTGTTTCCATATCATAGTTTTATAGTATTTATATCTAGACTTGTAAATGCACCTGTCCTAGGTAATGTAGCTGTTTGTCTTATTCGTATAAATGTGTACTTCTTTTCTGGTGATTTCCTACTTGTGTACCTTTCCCCTATTTTTAATGTCTTTAAAAAAAGTTCCTTTTTATCTGTTTTTTACATATATTACCTTCTATTTTACTCAAGCATTTGACTGTTGTTGTGCTTTGGGATAAACCTGAATATCCGATTAACCTGTTTTCTTTTTTTTTCTTTTTTTTCCCCAATTGGCAATTGTGGCTTTACACGGCCAAATGCTCTCATTTGTGACATGGAGAGTCATGGCCTGGCCTACCAATCCTTTCAATTGAGGGCGTTTTATCTCTTACCACCTCCTAGCATTTGTGAGTCAGGGGGGATTTGGGTCTTCCTGGCTTTTTGTAGCAGAGTGGAATCCAGTCAGCTTTCTGATATAGGTGGAAATCATGGAACTAGTTTTACTTTAGGGTGGACATCTCCCAGATACCTCCTTACATGGGATCCATGATTGTGGTGTCACTTCGTGATACCACTGCGTGCCAGCAGTTGCTGGACCAACATCTGATACACGTCCAGACATGGCAAATGGCCTGGAGCGTGCCCATTTGCTCATCAAGCTGGGAATCTCACTCATGTGTGTTAGCCAGCTGGTTGCTGTTGCCTTCAGGAGGTGTTTGAGATGTTGGTTGCGAGTAGCGCACTGGTCCCAAACAACCTGAGAGCTGCTCCTTTCCTCATCACGACCTCCAGGAACTGGACATCTGAACTGGAGCCCCCATATTAAGAAAAAGAAGAGTAGCAATACTTTGCTAGAATATTTCTTGAGTTCTGGTGTGAGTTCTTAGCACTGGAACAGGCTGCTCAGAGAGGTTGTGGAGTCTCTGGAGATCTTCCAAACCCACCTGGACGCAACCCTGTGCCACGTGCTCTAGGTGTCCCTGCTGGAGCAGGGGGGTTGGACTAGATGACCTCTAGAGGTCGCTTCCAACCTCAACCATCCTGTGATTCGGTGAGTTTATTCCTGAGGCTGAAATTGGTTGAAGTGGCCTGGGTAAAAGGCATGGCTTTTTACCCGTGGAACTCAGGTGGACCTGCCCAGGTGGAACTGCCTTCCCTTATGCTGTGGGCTGTCCAGCTTGTGAACTTGGGTCCGGCAAGATCAGCATTTTCAAAATTGCAGTGTGTAAATCATACCCTGAAGTAGAGCTTTGCTTCCCTAATGAGCTGTGTTTTATTTGTATTCTCCTTATCTGAAAATTCTACAGCAAAGAGGATCAGGCAGTCGGTGAGATTTTTCGTAGTGGTTCATGGTCCAAAAAATTTGAAAGCGACTAGTGTGAGTTTTATTACTTTTATTTCATCTAGGGTGCTTAAAATAAAGGAATTTCCTTTACCATGTGAACAGAAATTATAATATGTATCTCACTATAACTGATTGTGTATACTAGGGTTTATTTTTTTGCTGTCTGAAAACATCTGTATGATTTTCCCTTAAAAGTAGGTGATGAATTATTTTTTGCAGAAATATTTGATTAGATTAAAAAAATAAAAACCCGAGCAAACAACTGAAACAGAAATGGGAGGTCTGAAAACTGTAAGATCCAGAAATTTAAGGTGTGCACCATGCAAGAGGCCATGCAACTTGGGTTTTTTTGTTGTTTTTATTTTTTTGCTATTTTCTCCCAGAAGGAAAGCGTACTGATACCCAGTAAAGACTGTTCTGTTCTTCAGCTGGCTGCCTGTATGTCTTTATAGCCTGTGAAGCTGCCTGGATTGGGGTACAGGTTTATAAATTTCATTGTGTTGGAGGCTGATTGGGACTGGCAGTAAATTTTCTTTTCGATGAGCCATGTTCAAGTAAGCATCCTTACTAATCCATCAGTTAAGCATTACAGGACATTTAATATGTGGAAGTGGTTGTACTATTTGTAAGTGGATTGAGAGTGCAGCTGTTTGCTTATTTATAGGGATATTTGTCCAGGCTGGCGAGTCACCACGTGTTAGGTGTGGCAGTGATGAGCGTTGGCGCATGCGGATCCTCTTGCGGAGCTCGTTTTAAGTGCTGGCTTGTTTCGCGAGGATGAGTATGTGAACATTATGTATTCATTATTTTAATACTGGAGTATGCATGACAGACAGGAAAAATACACAGTTGCATGGTCAAAAGACAAGTTCTTACATTCATCTTTCTACTCCGAAACCTAATATGAATGTCAGCATCTTGTAAAGAGAAACGTGCACTTGATCTGAATCCTAAGTGTGTGGATAATGAAGCGATATGAAAGTGGTGATTGTTGCTTGTTTGTTTGTTTTTGTCTGTCAAATAGTTTTAAAGATGTTAGGATTCTTTGCTGAAAGCACACATGTGCCAGACCAAGAAATGCAGTAAAAAAACTTTTAAGGGAGCATTTATTTGTCCAATTAAAAATTGGTATTTCATAGGTTACCAAATTTGACTTTATTCTTATTAGGAGCCATCCTAGTGTAATGGGTAAATGTCATGCCAGATGGTAAGGTCACTTTGTTTCCCTTCTCTTTTGTAATGTAGCATCAGTCAGATATGGTGATAAGCCCTAGAAATTCTATTTATTTATTTATTTCCATCTGCATGATGAGGCAATACGCAGCTCACCCTTCATTTGATTCAAAGCCAGCTTTGCTGGCTTAATGTGCACAGGAAGGTGACAGTGTTTCTCACCCAAGGCGTCTACTTTGCACAGCGCAGCCATCATGTTGATGGAGTTGGTATATCAGTTTAAAACTGCTTCTACCAGCATAGCAATATTTGTGAATGGAAGAAAAAGGGAGTGAACAGTACGATAGCAATGCGCTTTTTCTCACTACCGCTGTGTTCCCGGTTGCAGTGCAATGGGGAGCGCATGGAGGAGTGCCAAAAGGAGCTCCCCTGCATGCCTGCTTGGAAGGGGCCGTTTCCTTGCTGTTCCCAGGCCTTCGGGAGCTCCCTGATGCTTGGGGAGCTGGCACAGCTGGACCCCATGCCCGTGCGCCCGCCTGTCTCCTGCTGCTGCTGCAAGGCAGCTGATGGGAGCTCAGCTGCTCTAGCTCTGTCTCTCTGCCCCGTCTCGGGGCTCGCTGCTCCTCCTCGGCTGTTTCCCTGTCCGCTCGCTGCTCCGAGTGCCGGGCCTGGCGCGAGGGAGGAGACGGTGCTGGGCTCCGCTGGGAGGACAAACACCCGGGCAGATCGGAGGGCTCGTGTGTGGCTGGGTGTGTTTACTGGGTCTCCTGTTATTTTCCCTTCATATCTGATACAGCCCACTGAAGTAGATTTTTGCCTCGAAAAGCAATTGCGATAGCACCATCTCAGGAGTGGGGCAATGGTAAAGAAAAGTACTGCCATGTAGGTGTGCAAATGCTGTGTAAAGACACCGAGTTTCATGTCCTAAGATATTAGTGAAATAGGGGAAAACACACATTCTAATTTAGAAATACAGCATATTTGACTCTGAAGGATACAAACCTCTGTGAGCTTGAGGCAACTTTCAGCATATGAAAGTCATCTCTTCGGTGAACAGAAACAAACGGGGAGCTGCAGAGGGCCTTTCCGAGCGGGGCCTGGCTTGGCCGCTCCAGAGAGCCGCGTGAAGGATCCTGTCCCCCACCACGGAGAGACTGTGTCAGGATTAGCCTGGCCAGGCTAAAGCTGCTCCCTGGGAGCCCCGGCCTCCACCTGCGCGTATCGGTGGCCAAAGGGCCCTGCTGACGGGGCGTTAGCGAGCAGGGCGCCTGCCAGGCGCCCCGTGCCAGCCCCGCAGACCGTGCTGGGAAGGAGGGGTTTAATCCTCCCCATGGGCACCCGCATAACGAACCTGCTGCCCAGGAGGGCGGTAGCAGGGCTGTCGGGCTGCTGCCTTTGGATTAGTAGCAGTGTTTTGTTGGTTTGATGAATAATTATTTTGTGCAATGCTTTTCTTTCTCCCTTTGTTTCATGTTTTCCTGCAGTGTGCTAAGGAGTTAACTTGGGCTGTGTTTTCCCAATCTGCCAGCCCAGACCCCTCCTGACTAGTAATACAAAGTATAAAATGCAAATTTAGATATATATATATTTTTTATTCCCTCCATTCATTTGGCTACTAGCTTGCCTGTTGTGTAAACTCAGGCTCCTTCTGCACAGCACTGTGTCTGAGAGAAACATGTAGAAATCAGCCCATGTTGATTGTGAACAGCATTGGTGGCTTGCTTGGAGGTTCACTGGAATTTTTAAAAACATTTTGTGCTCTAAAGAAGGCAAAGTGAGTCTGCAGTCAAAACAACAGATTGCATGTGTGCCCAAGAATTACGGTTACCCCCCTTAATTCTCTTGAATTAAGAGCTAGTCATGTTAGGAGACTTCCTATGAAAAAAATCTGAAAAACTTAATTTTTTTCCTGTGCCTGAGATAGGTTGGATGTAGAGGGGTGGAGGAGGAGAGGGGCACTAGAAATGCTTTTGCATGTAACTCCTCTTCCCTCCAAGCTGAGCGCGCTGTTTTGTGTGTCGTTGTAAGAGTTGCCAACAGGAGTCCCCTGCAAGCTGTCTGTCTCTCCAACACAGAACCTTTAATGACATAACTTAGCAGGAGTGGTTTGTTGGTCTCTTCGAGAGGAATTAGAATCGCTGGTACTTAGTGATTTGTGAGTTCCTCGACAGAAATACATGCAAATGTACCCTGAATCAGACAACTTTTACTTGCTCGGATGTGATGGAGAGCAGCCTTTACGGATACAACAAGTTGGTCACATCCCCAGCGCAGTGGCTCACCTGACCATGTGCTTTGTAATTAATCTGAAAATACCCCACTACACCCCAAACCCTTACATTACACACAGGCAAGATTTCTGTATGCAGGAAAGTGATGTGTCTAAAGGAACATGAGAAGATGGTAGCCCTTACAGAAATAAAGTGTGCTGCACATAAATCAGATGTAGGAAATTTAAAGTCCTTTGCTGTGGGACCAGGTTTTGTGTTAAAATTAATTTGATTCCATGTAAAAATATGTGGATTTTATTTCTTTTATGAAATATTAAATATTTAAAAGGTTGAATCAGGGATTAATGCTATTGCATATTTTATAGTTCTTGGAAGGTAGTTTAGATATACCATAGTTTTATACATACATACGGAGTACCTTGTTCTGCACAATAGCTTTCAGAATAACAGAATTTGGAAAAAAATCACTTACCCCAAAATAATTTTCTGTAGCTAATTATTATTATTGAAGTTATGGTACAGAAATAAAACTTATTGATTGAATATTTCCATTCTTTTAATAGTTTATGTCTTTGTTTAGCGATAAGAATTTATGTATTTTGCTCTCAAGAGTTAGCAGGTGAGATTCCTACTTAAATCAGTAAAACTCCCTTTGAGATTTTTGCTGTTTTCCTTGCAAACCTGCATACAAAACACTGGTGTTCTGGTGTTGTTGCATTTCTATTTCAGCGTGTCTTTGTTTACTGATCAGAATTTATGTATTTTGCTCTCAAGACTTAGCAGGTGAGATTCGTACTGAAATCAGTAAAACTCCCTTTGAGATCTTTGCTGTTTTCCTTGTAAACCTGCATACAAAACACTGGTCTGGTGTTGTTGCATTTCTATTTCAGCTGTTCCGCAATGTGGAAGGCGGTGAGGATTTCCAGCTGTTTGAGCAAGGCCATCGCACGGCGCACAAGCAGGAGTCTCACACCATGGAGGCAGTGAGGCTGGTGGAGTTCAACCTGAAGCAAGTGCTCACGAAGCTCATGGCTCACGTCTTTGGGGATGGTAGGTTCTGGCACGTTTTGGCCTGGGCTGGCGGTGGGTGGGTGGCAATCCAGTACTCTGATGCTGCTATATTGCTGAGTAATAAAAACAAGAAGGTTAGTGCCATTCAAGTGTCTTTTAATGTCAGAGTAACTTGCTGTGGATTGGCTTTTCAACTGTGTTCTTACATTTTCAACCACACTTCTATATTCGATTATTTTTAACTGTACTAGGTGCACAATTAGTGAAATTACTAAGGAAAACCCATCAAACAACACACATTCCTCCTGATTTTTCCGAATACTGGTGCCTGCCACGCTGTGTGGAGGCAGACACCCCTCGTGTCACCCCTTGTGAGGTTTGATCTCTGCTGTGCCAGGGTAATGTGGTGGGCAGGCACACGGGTGAGGACACATGAAGACCCAGCTACAGGCTGGAAAACTGTGTGGTTGTGAAGAGTTGTGTGGTATTTAGAGTGGAATAAGGAAGGGTAATAATGTCTGTGTATAAGAATGAAATACTATTCTCTCCTCAGAAATACCTGTTTCTGTAGTTGAATTTGTAAATGGCTCAAGTTAAAATTGCTCTGTTGATGCTGTTTACTGACAATGAGGCTGGTCTTTCCTCCACAAAAATAAAAGAATCAGTTCAGAAATGCTGGATAGTATTCGAATGCATGGGATATGCTGGTTCCTTTCAGTGGGCTCTTTTAAGATGCCCACTGACTTTACAGCAGTTGTTCCAAGGATGGATTGATGACAGTATCAAGTCCTATACATGACTGCTTGAATTTTTCTCTGAAATTCTAAAGCTGAATTTACAACAAAGAAAACGTTTACCTGCTTTTGTTTTATTTGCACCTTGAAAGAAATTTTGTTATCTTCCTGGCTTTAGTTCTTATGGTTTTATTTTGCTTGCCAGCAGCCTTTCGAAACATACACAATTAGGATAAAAGTGAATAATAGGAAAAATGATATTTTTTAGATCAATGTCTCAAATGCTCAGGGTGTTGTTAAAGAGAACATTTTCTAGGAGTTATTAGTGATATCTAAACTGTAGTGACATCCTTCTGTAACTGTTGACAGATGCAGCACTTTAAGCTTCAGTATGTTGATTATTATTAATTCTTCTACAGTCCATACAGTGGCTAGAAAGATATTAAAAAAAAACTTAAATGATTGTAAATCTCCAGGCTGAAGGAAGGCTTCTTCCTCTTATTGTGGGGCATTTCTCTTCTCTTTTTGTGTTAAGACATGAAAGTAATTAAAACTAAAATGTATTTTACTGCATTTGTTATTCCTTAGAAATTTTTTTTTCTTTTTTTTTTTCCCCTCTGGTGGATATTCTGTAAGGCCTGATGTTCTCTTAAAAGCAAAAATTTTATTCTTGTTCTACTTCCCTCTGGCTGTATTCTTTACATCCTGTGCTGTCCGCAGAATAGTGCAGTTCTCACCCCTGTCCTAGTTGGATAGCATGTATCTGGTTACAGAAAGCCTCTGAGATGTTGTATTGGAGTCGGCTTTGTTATCCATAGGCAGATTGCTTGGATCGTAGCTTGGGTTAGATGCAAGTTAATTTTGCATAAAGTAGCTTAGGCTGAAAGCTCTGAACTCAGACTTCTGCGGTGCTTTTCTGTGCATTTCCTGGCTCAGCTCTGTGATAGGGTGAGGAACTCTGGAGTTTAACTGTCCTGTTTTTTTTTTTCCTTCCTTTATTCCATGCTGAATGTGTGTTGCTTTAAGCTTAGTTTACACAATATTTAATGAGCCACTTTCGCTTTATCTTACTTAACCTGCACTATGAGGAATGGGGGGTATTTCAGTGTTGACTGTACCTGCCAGTAAATAATGTAACAAAAGTTGCTTAAAGATCACTAGGTTATGGACAGTCAAAGACTTGATTAAAATGTGCATTTCAGGATTGGGGGGTATTTCAGTGTTGACGGTACCTGCCAGTAAATAATTTAACAAAAGTTGCTTATCACTAGGTTATGGACGGTCAAAGACTTGATTAAAATGTGCATTTATATATGTTCCCAAGGTTTGTCTGCAAAAGGAGTGACATATATCAGAGAGAGAAAGATCCAGAGCATATAGTCAGTTGTCTTCAATTTTTGGCAATGTAAGATAATTCCCTTTATTACCTTATCTAATGGTGTGTGTTGCCTAATTTTGTATTCTGCAAGTGATGTTCATTCCATTTCTTTCATGAGATCTTGCTGTTGGGGAGCTATTTCAAATATTCAGCCTAGAGATCACCTTTCTTAATTTCCCTCCATTACCTCCAGATACTGTGCACACTTTTAAAATAAAATCATTAACTTACACCTCCATCTCCACATTAAGATCTGTAAGTGAAATAATTGTCTGGTATGAGTTATCGTGTAACCAGCAAGTTAAGGTTAACTATTTTAGTTTTCCTCCCACACTAGGTCCTTCTTCCCCAACTCCAGTTTTCTCGCTAAGCCTTCTGTCGTTTACCAAAGGCTTTCTGCACTGAGACATTTGGAAGTGATCCTGCTAAGGCAAATGGACAAGAATTACCTTGTGCTCTTTCTCTGATTTGTTGCTCTATGTAAACAGGCCAAAATTCGCTCCTGTTCCTTCCAAAATGCAATGAGTACCTCACCCTTTTTGTGTCATTTGTAACTAACTTGCCAGCCCCTTTCAGCAGCAGGACCTGCATCTTCCTTGCTCTTGCTTTCTGCTGACTTCCCTGTAGTACCCTGCCTGTGGTTGATGTCTCCTGCCAGTTTGAGCTCCAGCTGGGCTTCTGCCTTCCTTACTGGCCTGAGTAATATTTCTGTTTGCCTCTTGGGGAGCCTCTCCCCTTCTCCATCTCCAACACTCCTTTTTTTTAACTCTCTCAATAGCTCACTGTTTAACCAGGCTGGTTTTATGTTTTGCCAGGTCCTCTGCCTGCCTGGGGGAACGGGCTGCTCTTGCACTTTGCCAAGGCTGCCTCGGAAGGTCTCCCAGCACCCCTGGGCTCCTCTGCCCTCCAAGGCAGACTCCCAAAGGATCCCTCCTAAGGGTTCCCCAAGCAAGTTGAAGTCTGCTTTTCTGAAGTCCAGGATCTTTATTTTCTTACCTGTTTTCCTCGCACCTTTTAGGATCTTGAACTCTCTTGAACTCTTCAGTCTTACAATGATGACAGCCAAGGCTGCTGTTGACAGTCATGTCTTCAAACAACTCTTTCTTATTTGTAAGCAGTAGATTCAAGTTCCTTTCCTGTTATTTAATAACTTTATATTTTACTCTCTTCCTCGGATATGCTACTTTCCAAGGACCGTTTTCCAAACAAATACTCATTTTTCTTTTTGCTGACACTTCTGAGCCTTGTACCTCTCCTGTTATTTCTAGTGTTTGCAGTAAATTCCAAGTGTATTATAATGAACACATATAACTAGCAAGCTGTTGCTTTCATTTCTATCTCATTAGAGTAGTTGTTAAATAAGACAGAGTGAATACAAACTCACAAAACATTGCTTTAGTTGCCCTTACCCAAATCACTTGTGTCTATATAGTTTATAGTTCATTTACTTCACTTAACAGTGTCCTGAGAAATATGTATCATATTTGGTTTATTCATGTCTAGGCTCAGGAAATGAATGTAAAGCAAATGAGAAATTTAGAGTTTAATGGAACAAATGACTGCTGCAGGAAAAAATGCTATGAAAATACAGTGATCTTTATGGAGGGATCCACTGACAGATATAAAACTGGATACAGCTTTGCACAGCTGTTACTTGCTTTAAGTGACCAGTTCCTGAAAGCCATGTAAACCTTATTTAAGGTGCCCAGCTGTTCCACTGAGGCTGGTGTAACGAAGACATCTTTTCTATACAGCTCGTTTACTAAAAGTGCTGTCTTAAAAAATATTTTTGCTAATAAGGGGTGCTAAAATCCCCTGAACTCTCTCCCCCTGCCCCTAATCCTCTGTCCAGAGTTGTACCTTGCCTTTCTGCTTCTACAGTTGCATAGACTTAAGATTTTGCATGTTGGGATATAGAGGAAGAGGAAAACATGTGAAATACTGAGCAGTTTGGGCTTTGAAAGTATTACCTGCTTGGGTGTTTAGGAATTGGACACTTGATTCGCAGCAAGTGAGCTGTGGAAAGGCACACACGGATTTCCTCCGCCTCTCGGGAGGTTCTGCTGGCAAAATGCTGGCTGGGAGGAAGGAGAGTATCCCACAGGTATCCCACAGCAGCCTCCGACGAGGGCTGCCCTCCCCGTGTGTCGCTCACGGCTATCAAGGCACCTCACACTGGGCAGCGGATTAGGGCCTCGTTAGTGGCCAGGTTGGCATATGCTAGTTAGCATATTTGGGATGTTTCCAGGTAGCTGATACGCAGTTGCTGAGCTTGTCATCCTAGTCCTCTGAAAAGGACTGCCTTTATGATCAGATCTCGCACCATCCTGCTAGGGTAAGGAAAGAAGTGAGCTAAGCAGTGGTTATTTTGAAAAGCAGATAAATTTGTAATGCAATCAAGTAAAGCAGCTAAGGGCTTTGAGGTAAGCATCACACTGACTGTTTTGAGGCGAGGATGGAGTGTTGAAGATATGAACCTATTTTTTTAAATCATGTTTTAATGTTTTCATTAGATCACCTTCAGAAAAAAAATCTATTTCTGATTCATATTTTTTAATTATCTGCCCAAATTCCTAGACACCTCTGACGGATGGCAGGAGGATGAGTAAATCCATGTTTAACTAACAGTTCTACTTTTGTTAGTTCTCATTGAATAGCCATTGAATATATTGAAGATCAAACATATGGTTCTGCTCTGTGTTCTTTTAACTCTGTTATAACATCTTCTTGGCAGAGTGTTCTGAGATCTGTAAGTATAAGGAGTGGGATTTTTTGTTTTATTTTGTCTTTTTTTGTCATTTACTGAGGGCATAAGGATCTGGCTAATAAATGCTGAAAGACATGAGCTACAGTACATTTATGGTCAGCCAGCTCCCGACTGCTGTAGTGAGATGAATTGGCTGGAGTAATGAAGTGCAGAATACTTAAGAACTGCCACACCACTCAAGTGGACAGGTTTTAATGCCTTCTGTGCTCAGTGGCTTCCATTTTGCAGATTTCCTTTTCTCCCATAGAATCCATCTGTAAAAATAATCGTTACAGGAACAAAGAGAATTTCTGGTTAGTGAGGACCATCTGGGTCTCTGGCTTTGTTGCCTCTGTGCTGTGGGGAAGCAGTCGGCCGCTTTTAATGGAGTGCGGTTTGTTTGGCGTGTGGGCAGGGGGGCCTATGGTCAGGCCTTTTTCATTAGGAGTCTCAATTAGACTAGCTCTGCCAGCTACTAGTTTAGCTTAGTATCTGATAGCATCCTCGCTTTAGAGCGCCAGCTACGTCCAGTTCCTTCCCTGGGTTCGTTACTTACAGACAAGAGCAGCGACCCGGAGCTCTTCACCTCCTGCGAGATGCCTG